TATGTTGAGCTTTGGAAAAAAAAAAAAAAAAAAAAAAACAATCCAAAACCAGAAAAACATTGTAATGCTACAGCATTACAATGAGTAGAGTAGAGTAGAGTTTTCTTTTTTGCATAAAATATTGAGGAACACTTCTCAAAAGTTGCCATTTCCACTGTGTATGCCCTGGAGCTCATTGAATTTTTCTGTGAATAGATTTAGCTCACTGGAAAAACAAAAATCTATCTCTGTTTCCTCTTCCTCTTATCCTCCCCCCTTCTTTTTAAACTGAGTTTGTTTCCTGTCAGATTAGTGAGTTAAATTGGCTTATGGAGAGGACCAAAAGAAGTGCCAGATAAGCCTCTAGGAGCAGGAACAAGCCATTGAGGGTCAGCAGGAGCAGTGCTGAGGTGTTCTGTGAGTGGCCAGTCTTCAAATCCTGTGTTAGTGCAGCAGAGTTGCCTGTTGCCCTTGGAGGGGCTGTTGTTCAGGATAGTGAATTTTTTGTTTGTTTTAGCATTCTGCCTGCAAAATTACATRGTGTTCACAAACCTATAATGAGCTTTTGGTCAAAAGTCCTTGTAGCAGGACTGCAACTGATTCCATTCTGCATCGGTTCTGATCTAATGCAGGGAAGAGCACTGGTATGCATGCAGTGTAAATTGTTTTACTTCTGGGTCCTCTCACTGTGTCCTCTTGCTTTACTCAAAAGTTGCTGGCTCATGATGGAGCTGTATGAGGTTGTTTTGGGGAGATTTTCTTACAATATTTACTGTGGTTGGGCTTTAGGATATGCTTTCCTWCATGTCTGGATTTAATTGTAGATAATTTTGGAGGGAAAACAGTTTTCTTACTTTGGGAAAYGCAGCGTACTGGTGGTGCCTGGTCATTGTACTGAGCAATCAATCAATCATTAGGTAGAAAGGGGCAGAAATGAGAGATACAGAAAATAAATGATGCAAGCAGAATGCCACCGAATAACTTTTCTCTCTCATCCCTCTAAGCAGTTTAATGTCTGCAACATCAGTTGTTCACAGCCCTGACTAGAAATGGCAAAGTTGTGGTGAGACACTTACTCCCACACTTATTGAAAGCAGTGCACACATATCTGAGGCAATCTGGCCCCTGTAATGATCCTTAATTCCAAACTTCCTTTCTTTTGTAGAGCCTGGTGAGAGCTTTAAGCACTCCCTGACACTACCCAGGAATTAGTGCTTTTCTTTGGGGACCATCTCGCTAACACTGTTTATATTTAGTTTTGATTTTTGTTTTGTAGTGGGAAATGCTTTCCCACAAACTTGTGATCGTGGATTTTTCTGTTCATATTTGTTGTTGCCAATRCTACTACAAGACTGCCAGCATTTTGGACCAATCTGTTGCTTGTGACAGAGATGTGTGAGATTTTACATTAGGATATCTACTAAAAAGAAAAAAANAAAAAAAAAGCTCTAGTCTGAAACCACTGTATTGACTGCTGGTAAAAATAACAGTAAAGTCTCTGACAGCTGAAAGAGAAAAAGAAGGAAAAGCATGTTGCTTTTAAGTTTTTCCCTTTGTTTGTTGGCGGTGTGCCCATGCACCCCATTCAGGGCTCTAAAAATGGTTCACTGACTTGAAACTCCGGCTGCTTTTAATTGTGTCAGTTTTATTTGTTTAAGTAATGTGAGGAAAATACTGAGCTAGGTCTCTCAACATTAAATTATCAACTTTACAGACATTTTTTGTCCAGCTCTTTAGACACGTTAAGAGGGATTCAGGTTTTAGATTTGTTTTGCTGGTTTCCAAATGCCACTTTTTCACAATGGCTTTGAATTGTTGCTGCACCCTCAGAATAATTGTGTAAACCTCAGAGAATCTCACCATGAGCTGTACATTTGCACAGTAAGTCARCACCAAATCCATCTCCAACACTGAAAAGCTGTTGAGGTATATTCAAGCAGAGAATGTGCCAGTCATTTGAAGTAGGKTTTTTTCAACAAAAGTTAAAAGTGCTCAAAAAAAAAGAAACATGCAAAAAATGTACACCTGCATAACATGTGATTCATGAAAGCATGATTGTTGCTTTACTAAGGCTTTTAAATTTGCTTAAAATCTCTTGTAAATAGAATGCAATGTTTAGAAATCAAATTCTGTTGCTAACAGTGCAATGGGAAAAATAAAAACATCCTAGAGTACTAATAATGCCCTGGTTTAAGTTATATTTTAAGCAAGTACTTATTTATTTTGCAGTAAAGTAGAAGACAATGTTATCTGTATCAGATGCTAACTTTTTGACATTTTTTAATAATGGTGGAAGTCAGAAAGGAAAAAATGCGTAACTCTTAGGAAACTTAACTGTATCTTCATTAAGTTGTAATTAAACAAGTAGATGAGCATCCATGCTGTGTTCAGTACTGCAGGAAAATAAGGGTTTGTGCCTTTGAGGTTCCCTTGTGATTAGCACTCATCTGTGTTGCAAAATGAGTGTCTTATTTTGGGACGGAATACACATCCTTCAGTTCTTTCCTTTTAGCAAGATTTCCCTGCTGGCCACTGAAGATTGAAGAGGAGTGGGTAGACCTAGAGATGGACTCATGCCACAGGCAGTGTCTGTAGTTTTGGTTGATGAGTGGTGTGTCTTCTTTGGGCGTGTTCTGAACTTGGATGTTTCTTCATTGTGACAAAGATCCCCTTATTGATATACAGACATTTCAAAGTGGGCTTACTTGAAATAMTACTGCTTTCCTGGGTGGTTTGTTTCATTGCTTTATGTACAATTACTGTCCTCCGGTTGCATTAGTAAGAGCACGTGCATGTTTATTTTTTCATGTCTTAAATTTTCATTTTTCAAAAAAGCTGAGTTTTTTAAAAATTATTTAGGGAACAGATACTATATATTTCTTCCTTCATGTGTCCCACAGCCTTCCCATGCTATTCCCTTCACCTATTAAATAGTGCTCAACCTTCAGCCTACAAAGTCAGGGATCTGTGTTGTGTTTCACACTGCTACATTTGGTGGGAGAGCCACATCTACTAGAACTGCCCAACTGGATAAGCAAAACCAGCCTTTGTCCTAAAGATTGGAGSTGTGTTCTTGGCTACTTTTGGCTGCTGGAAGAATTTTAAGCACCTGAGCCACTCAGACCAGCACTGGTGGTGTCTTGTGCGGTGAATGGTTGCTGCTGGATGCACTTAGAACTTGGGGTTTTCGGAAGTTGAGGTGTGTGTGCTTTCATATGGTTTCATTAAAATGAATGTACCAAATTATTATATAATTTAGTCTATTAGTGCTGTGAAAAATAAACTTTGCAGGAGCACCTCTCTTCAGAAAGACAAGGAGAGGTGAAGTGACACAGGTCCCCCAAGGTAGCTCTGCTGCAGAGCCAGGGACTGGAATCCTGTTCTCCAGTTTCWCCAGGTGTGATTCAGCACTGGGYTGGGATATCAGAATCACAGAAAAGCCTAGGGTGGAAGGCTCCTCTTGATTTCATCTGGTTCAATCTCTCTTCAGAAAGCAGGGTCTTGGATTAGTTTATTCAGTGCCCTGGTAAGAAGAGTCATAACTATTTCCAGCAAAGGGAGCTATTACTTTGGGTTTCTCTGTTTAATTCTTTTCACAGTTAGCAATTTCTCCTTGTGTCTGAAATGAGTTTGCTCTGTAGCAGCTCAGGGGGAGCTGCTCTTGCTTTTGCTGCTTTCCCTGTGCGTCCTTGTGAAGAGACCAGCTCCCCTTTGTGTGCTGACTCTGAGCTGTGTGGGTGCCAGCTCTTGTGCCCTGCAGTGAGGCGGTTCCAGGGAGCCCAGGGTGCTTCCAGGCTGTCAGGGRTTGCCATCTGTGTGTGCTCCCGGCTGCACTTGGCAGGTAACAGATGCAGTTTAGAGTCGTGTGTCACTTGGCTTTTTGTGACATGTAACTGATTTGGGATGGCACCTGCAGTGACGATTTCCTTCCTGACTCCATGGTTCAGCCAAGTGAATGCTGGAGAATGGTTTAGGAGTCAGTCAGGATATATTTTTTTTCTCTTTGCTCTGAGGAATTAATGAGCTWTGGAAGAAAATAAGTTTTATAACTCTTCTGGGAAAGAAGACCTGTAAATATGTGTAAATTGAGGTATTTTGTAATATTYTCTGTGAGTGCAACTGATCTCATTCATGTACYATGTAACTTCTAAAATAAAAGTGTACTGCAACCACTTTATCTCCACCACCCCTCAAAAGCCTCCCTGTCACTTTACTTGATGATCATTTTATTTAAGAGTTTGATTAATCAGATTTTTCCTGGAATGCAGAGTTACTGTTGTACATAATTTGTTTGTAATTGTGATGAAAATTTCCTTTGTATGAGAATCAGTGGTAAGCGCCTGTTGACTTCAGCTTGTCCAAGATTTTGCTTCTGCAGTGTAATGTTAAAATATTTTTCAGTATTTATTTCACTTGCCCTGATAATGAAACTTTCCTTTTCTGTGAATGAAAATACAAACCCATGTGTAAATCGTGCTGGGTAGATTAGATTTTTGGTGGATATTTGAATTGCCTGTGTCAGTGGACTTTGTTTAGAGTGCCTTCCTCATGCCTCTCATGCTTGCTGTATCTCTGATTCGTTTTCAGAGCAGCAGACCCATATCTCAGAAAGAATGCAAATTATTAGAACTTTGATCATAAATTAATTTGCTCTAGARTGAACATTTGCTCTCTTTCTCGACCTTTTCACTTCCTGAGACCTGTTAAGAATTTGCAAGCGTTTTAAGAATACAGCATTCCTTYTGCTTCATCTGTAGCATTCATCACAGAAAAGGAAAGCATTATTTCAGTTTTGCTGATACTGAAATAGATTCTTCTTGCTCATTTAGTGTTGAATAGGGTTTTCAGTGTATCCAGGACTGTAATTTGTAGTGTCTTCTGCTAAAGCTCAYGCAGAAGAAACTGTTACTCAACTTGTTTGTGTTGTAGGATTGGTAGGTGGGGTAATTTGTCCGGTTGATTATAAATGTAAATACTGTTTTTAAGGCAACAGTAACCRAGAGTATTTTTCCTATTTACAGAGCAAGCTTTACATGGAAGGATTTAGAAGCCTAAAAGAAGGAGAACCTGTGGAATTTACTTTTAAGAAATCTTCCAAAGGCCTTGAATCAATACGGGTAACAGGCCCTGGTGGGAGCCCCTGTTTAGGAAGTGAAAGACGACCCAAAGGGAAGACAGTACAAAAAAGAAAACCAAAGGGAGATAGGTAATTATCTTACTTTGCTATTCCCCCCTTTTTTTCTTTGCAAGTATTTMTTGAAATTATGTTTTCGGCATTTATTTGTTTGTAAAAGGAAACCCTTCAATGCAAATTTGACTCTTACATGTAGCTTAGTAATTTGATTAAACTACTGTATCTATACAACTACATCAATCACCCATTGATTAGTTTTACTCAGGAAGGTTTTATTAAATTAGAGGGAGCCTRCAAAGGAATATAATGTTATTTTGAAGATTCTGCTATTAGACTGAAAAGAGAGGTCAGTCTGAATACAGGTGAAATAATGTCATGTTTAGGTGAGAATTGTGCATGCTAAAGAGACTGTCATGTGCAGTGGGGTTTTAAACTGTGCATCAGTGGTTTCATATAGAAAATAAAGTGTAGGTGCTGCAGATGTATATAGGTTGASATGTATATAATTTGATTAATCATGTTTTTACTTAATGAATAGAGTATAAGGTATTTCCAAAGGTTTTAATTACTGGTGATCTGAGGGACTGTTGTAATAATATTTTACAAATTTCAGGTTAATTTTGATTGCTGCACTTCTTTCTACACATGTGCAGTAGTCTGGGTTGCACTGCACTGTTGTATTTTACTTTCTACTTCTGATGGCTTGAAGAAATTCTGAATCCTCTTCCACTGCACCTAGTTCACCAAGGACAGCCTTCCTGCCTGAAAGCTAATTAATTAATTAAATATTTTCTATTTAGGTGAATTTGCCTTTTTTTCCTCATGCTGTTGYCCAGCCCAGTAGCTTGCTTGAGGCCAAGGGGAATAAATACTGACTCTGTGAGGATCCTAGCAAGAACACCTAAACAGCCAAGTTTTGTAGTGTTTAATGCATGGCGTGACTGAGAGGTGGAAATTCTCTTCCATTGCACATTCTGAAGCAAAGAGTTGCTTAGGGGAGATAGGGTCACCTGAAGAGCTGATGTCGACCAGGTTTGAGAAATTTGGGATGAGAAACCTTTACCAGCTACAGATGAACTCCACTTGTCCTCACTTCCGTTGAAAGGCCCTACATTTTTGTCCCTCTCTTCTTTTTCTTTTTAATTTTTTTTTTTTAATGAAGTACTGGAGACAACATGATATTTGTCCCTCTTTCACCTTCTTCGTAAAAGCTAAAGGCCATAAACAAAATTTATTGCTGCTGTAACAGATCAGAGTCCATAACCATAACAAGGAGACACTTTGTAAGCTGGACAAAGCTTTCTTTTTGATTKCTCTCCATATCTGGCCTTCTGAAGTCGTGTTGCATGCAATGGCTGGGATCTTTTTTTTTTTATTATTTCGCGATGGGCTTTCAGTATTATTCTTATTTAAACCATTGGTTTTTTTCCATGGATTGTAATTGCTAATCTGTTTAGGGTATTAGCATTATCACTGTTCTTGATGTTTCATACTTTGGCAGCAAATAAAGGCCGCAGTCGTGCTGGCATGATGCTGTTGACCTGTTTGTTGAATGCATATGAAGGAAAGCAGTCCTTGCTTCAAAAACSTTGAAATTTAAATTCTGGGCAGCCTGTGAGTAGTCAGGAAAGATTACATATTGAAAGAGGCAAGGATTTGAACAAATTTGAGCAATCTACAGTGCACAGTGCAGTTGATGCAGGGGGAAGCAGTACTGTCCAAGTGTAACTCATCTCATCCTGGAGAAACATCTAAAATGTTGGGGGTGAATCTTGTCTTACTGCTGTTCCTCTTCGGGGAGTACAGAGGGATCCCAGCTCCAATCCTGTAAATGCTTCTCTTACAAGTCTCTGAAGTGAARTGAGATGAATTCTGCTTTCAATCATGTTTTTTCATAGCTGAAACACAGAAAAAATTGTGCAGATATACCCTGAAAAACAGTGCGGAGGGGTGATCTATGAGACAGTGTACTCTCTAATGCTCACTTGCTTTTAAAAAAAGGGAAAATTCAAAATTAATTTGAATTAATTTGAATGTGAAAATGTGGGCAAAAACATCTACCCACTTCTGTCTCAGAATTCTTACACTTAAGTCATAAGACRCCAAAAAAGGCTGAAATTTGAAATGTTTGAAGTAGCATTGACATTATCACTCAGTGAGAAGCAGTGTCTTCGCTTGAAGGAAAATTAGTTTTGAATGCCTAGACAATTAAAAGGTGCGCCTCCAACATGTGTAATGAAAAGTTTCTTGAAGATTGCTGTGGTACTGTGACAACTGCMTCCATTTATGAAAACTAATTCCAACTTCTTGTATTCATCTTTTTTATCTTACCAATGTAAGAGTGTGAGAGCCCAGCCTCAGTGCATCTTTTTGTCCAGATCCCATTTGAATGGATTTGGTTRCTCTAATTACTGAAAGGACTTAGAGATAGCAAAGATGGGGCAGGGAAGAGAGAAAACCAGCAATCTGTACTGATAGGAGGAAAAAAAAAGTTGTGGCAATGAGGCTACTGATGTTGGTAGATTTTTTGAGGCTTCCGTGATAAACTCAAGAGTCTCTGTAATTTGCAGTGTTGTTGCTGTGGGCTATGATAATATTTGCCCTTTGGCATTACTGTGGTCCGCATTAATTTTTAATGTAAGTGAGAATTCTTTGTAATTGTCACCAGTGATGTTGGCCACTTGGTCATCCTTTCTCAGTCAGTCTGTTGGCATGTGCACTCATGAGGGAGGGAACTTTTGTGGTCTGTGTGGAATGAAGCTGTGGCTATGAGCAGCTTCAGCTTCCCAGACCTTTCTTTAATCTCTTGAATGTATACGTGTCCTTTATATGTACTTTTTCGCAGAAATCTGGGCTAGAGGGGAGGTTTCTAAATGAAACTCAGCCAGGATTTGCTTCTGACGAGTTCTGGGTTCAGGAGTGGTGTTTTATGGCRGAGATGCACAGTGGAGGGGCTGGCCTTTTCCTACCTGAGTAAACCTGAGTAAAATGAATTTGCAGGGAGTTGGCATCGTGAGCAGCTGCAGCTCGCTTTGTAGGAACTCTCAGCACATGCCAAACACTGTGTGTTTTCCTCAGTTTTGGCAGTGAGCTGATAMAAAAGCTTGCTATTCTGCTCTCTAGGAATGACCATGGGGATCTGATGAAGAAAAGTACTCTGAAATCACACTTAATCAAGTATTCAGTAAGCTGTAGACAAGGCTGTGATTTAGAGTAGAATAAATAAAATCAGAACCTAACCCTCCATCTCAGAGTAAAGTGTAGAAGAAAAAGGGAAGAAGGGAAAAAAATTATGCTACTTTCTGTTAGTTTGGTTTTTTTTAGCAAGCACTCCCAATGTTTCTTGGTTGCCAAAAATGAAGGTGGGTAAAGGACCATTATATGAATTGTAATTATTTATATAGATGGAAGAATATTCTTTAATGCAGTGTAAATTTAAATAAATTTGACTCACAGACCTTTGGTACAATATTAATAAAGRTGCATTTTGCTCACAGAACTGGAARCTAGAGCTATCYTTGGGTCTTWGAGGTATTACCCAGTATTTGTAAATATTCCTGGTAGGAGCTCGAAGTTGGATACTTTTTCAGCAGTGTCTGTAATGCTGTATCTGCTTAGCTTGGCACTTGCTTCATGTGGGATGTTTTGGGGGAGATGGGGAGGTTGACAGCTTTTTTTTTCACTYTTTTTTGATTTGAAGTCTTTAAACCAAAATGGAAGCAATAAAATAAAGCACGAAAAGAGGGACAAGGAAGAAATAATTAAGAGTATAGCTCCATGTCCCAGTTCTAATTTATTTCAGTCCTSTGTTACCCTCTGCTAACACCACACCAGTGGCAGGGAAACTTTCTAGCACAGGTGACCTGTGTCAGTAAGTGGTTTCGATTTAAACATGTAATAAATAAACAGCGCATTGTGAGATTTGGGGTTGACAGGAAACATTTCACTGGCTTGATTTACGGTGCAGCCCTGCAAGTAAATGGTGAGGGAGGGTTTTGGGAGCTGCTTAAAATGATGGAGCTTCATGAACCATTGCCACTGGATAAATGGTGATGCTGAATTATGCCCTAGGATATGACTGGGGAAACAGCCATGTATTTCTAGCTCAGTTGGCTAAACAGTAATGAGTACTGCAGAATGGGTGTAACACTTGGAAAACCTTTTTCTAGGGTAGATATCGACAAAGGAGGAGCAATTAGAAAAGAAGTAGTTTTGTGTTAAGGTGTAATAAATGGTGTTCACCAGTAATTCTTGAATGTGACCAAAGCCRTAATTTTCAAACAAAGAAAAACGTAGCTTTAAAACACCGATTGGGTGGAAATACAGCTACTTAGGGAAGGAGGGGTTGTAATTAAAGAATATAATTCTTCCCTGATGAACTGTCACTTAAAACTAGTTTGTCTCTGAGTCAGATAGAAAATGGTTTTAATATCTGAAGTCATTCTGTGGAAGATCTGAAGTCAGACTATATTAAGAAAATCTTAAAGGTCTTTTTTAAAAGCTTGTGATCTGCACAAACAGCCACTGAGCTGGTGTGATGCAGGAAGAGATGACACATGGTGGCGTGCCATGGAGGGCATTTGAGTTAAAGTTAACAGGACTAGGACAGCTAGTTTAGGACAGGAAGTTACTCGATCCTAAGTTGCTTCAAACTTGATAGTATGTCARTTCCATCTCTGAATCACACTCAAGTGTGTAATCTTAACTTTTATAGAAGAGTCTCCTGCGGCTTGAACCAAGCAGGTTTTTGTGAAGGAAGTGTGAATAATAGGAGTGTATGGGCTGGGGAGGAGAGCCCTGAGCTAGTACCAACATGGGATAAGCTCAYAAAACCCATGCTTGGCAGGTGGGTGAGGTAAGCCTGTCCATCCCTTTTCCTGAGAGCAAACAAGGCCAGGCTGGTGGTCACAACAAAGGGGATAGGGACATCCACTTGGCCAGCGCCAGGGATTCTTTCGGGCAGGTCCTGAACAGCACTGAGGTAAAATGGGGAGCAGACAAACTGAGTCATCCAACCAGGGAAATGGATGAAAAGTTYGGGGAGTTGTGGCCTTTGGCACAAAATGGTGTCA